CGTAAAGTTTGAATTTTAAAAGGCGATCACGTAACACATTTTATTAAAGTTTTGTTTTACCCCTAAATGGGCCCCAAACGGGAAACCCGTCAAAATCCCAAATTTTCGAGCCCATTTCATTACCAGATGCAAAGTTTTGCGTGACTTTTAAACCGTACGGGACCCACCTAGAAACCAAAATTCGCGCCCATCTAAATTCCGTTCCCGTAAGCCCACATAAAAACCGTACGGGACCTGTTTGCTATTGCTGGCTGGGTATTTTTTTCACATGAATTGATTTGAAATAAAAGATTCTACAACATATTAACTTTTTTTTAATATGTTGTAGAATCTTTCTGTTATCTGTTTGATTTTTAACAGTATTTTTTCCTTTTATAATGTGTTAGTCTATCCATAATCTAAAAAGTAAACATTACGTCGTGTTTAAAGTCACCCCGAATCGGCTGTTCATTCTCACCACGCTTTAAAAATACGAAATGCTCGTATAAATAAAAAAAAAGTATTTGTTGTATAATGTTAATCAGACCTAGAACCAATTCAGGAACTGGATAGCAATGTTGGATTAAATCGGGTTCCTGGGAGCCTAGGCGCCTGGCCCCCAAAAATTAGGGTACCAGTGGGACCCCCCATTTTTAACGTATATTATTATTTTCTATATTATATAAGATTTGACATTCTAAATTATTTTCATTAATTTTTAATGAAATTAGTTTCGATAATTTCTAATCATATTAATTTCATTATTTCAATAAGGGACAGAAAATATCTAAGCGGAAATTTAAAACTCAAACTGCAAAAAAAAAAAAAAAAAAAAAAGGCAGACAGCAAGCAACATTAAAAAAATCCCAAAATTGACTACTTTTTTCCAATCTTCTGATAAAGCATGGGAGGAGAATCAATGTGTGTCAATTGAACCAAACCCAACTGCAGAAAGTCCACAGTTGCAAAACGTAGCAGATAGTTCTTCAATGAACAATGTATCGATGTTATCCAATTCAACAGTGCAGCAAGAAAGTGTGTCATACGACAATGTATAATACTATGGAATTTAGAGGAAGGAATAAATAATTAAGTTTATTGTTATTATTGTTATTATTATTATTACTATTCTTGTTATTAATATTATTATTGTTATGAGTAAAGTTGTTAAACGTATTATTATTTTTAATTCTATTCTTCTATAATTGTATAGTTGCACCGTTCTTTTTTGTTTTAGTCCAGTTTGACAATGTGTCAATCTAACCCAGCATTGGACGGATTTGAAAGAAGCGCTGGATTGCTTTAAAAAATGGATTGCTATAAAAGACGTATTTGAAAGAAGCGGTACTGGATTGCTATAAAAGAAATTCCTGATTAAAATGTTAAAGACAAAAATTTTCAAAATTCCCAAAAAGTTACACCTATCTATTTTTCTTTTAAGTTGAAAAATGGTGAATTTCGAAAGAAAAACGGACTTATTCACTATCCACAGGAAAAATATTTTGTTTCTTTAGCTTGCTTTTTCAAGATTCAAACGACAATTTCAGAACTGGATTCAACGACTGGGCACATGGATTGCGTTTTATACATAAACACGAACAAAGCAAGCAGCATTCTGATGTAGTCCAGTGCTATTTTGGAAAAGTCACAATAAAAGGAAAAATTGATATTCATTTAAAACAGCGGTTGGAGGATAAAAAGCGTTGCTGGAAGAAAGTTCTAGGAAGAGCTGTTGAATGCTTGAAGTTTTTGTGCAGTCGAAGTCTAGCTTTTAGAGGTGATTAATAAGAAATAGTTGACTTCATTAATGGAAGCTTTCTCGGGACCTTAGAGTTCTTAGCAAAATTTAACCCATTCCTTGTAAAACACTTAAAAAATCAAGGAAATCAGGGCAGAGAAAATGTTTAATACATTTCATCAACAAGTTTACTGATTGTTGACTCATCAACTGACACTGTACACTGCGACCAACTTGCAATAATCATTTGGTATGTGAGCGAGAAAGCTGTTTTGGAAGAAAGATTTATTAAGTTTGAATCTTCATTTAAACATAGCGGAAAGGCTATGGCAGATGCTGTCAATAAAAAAATTAGATGAGCTTGGCTTAAACATCAACGATGCTTATGGTATGTCATACAACAGTGCATTTAACATGTCAGAAAAATACAATGGCTTGCAAAAACAGAAAAATGAAAACCCAAACATTGAACTTATTCCTTGTGCAGGACATTTTCTAAATTTAGTTGGCGTAAATGCTGTTGACAGCTGTGAGGTTGCATTTGATTTCTTTGGGTTTCTCCAATGGCAGTATAATTTCTGCGCTTCAACTCACAGATAGCAGATACTTTGTTCTGGTCTTGTAAGTGGTACTGGAAAGGAAAGGAAAGTTACCATTAAAAGCCTGAGTGGGACAAGGTGGTCAGCAAGAGCCTTTTCTACCAAATTACAATTATGTTCTTGAGACATTAGAATCAATTATTCTAGATAAAGATGAAAAAAATCATACAAAAAACAAAGCCACTTCACTTTTTAAAAAAGTGAAAACTTTGGGTGTTGCTTTTATGACGGAGCTTTGGTACAGAATAATGTTACGGTTTGATGCAACTTGTATGAAACTTTAGGGTAAAACTGCAGATTTGGTTCTAGGTGTTTGATTTCTTAAATCTCTTTTGGAATATGTGACATCAATTCATGAAAATTTTCTCGACATTCAAGAAAGTGTTAGAAGGTTCTCAAGCATTATTCCTAATCAGCGCAAGTATGAAAATTCAAGAAAGAAGATGCGCAAATTAGGGTTTAGTGAAAATAGCGAGAATGAAGTGGTTTTTAGTGGCAGTGACAAATTTAAAATATTTTTTTTTGTCCCCCTATTATAGACAAGTTGAAAGGCAAAAAGAAAGTTTAGTTTTCTAACTAATTTTCAGACCATTACCCTTTCTGTCATTGTTGCTCCTGCCAAATCTTCATGTACTATTTATCCTTCAGACTTAGATACACAATTCCCTGATGAAATTATCCAATTTTCCAAGTTCATGGCAAATATGAAAAATATATCAGCAATTGAATGTTTACAAGCAATTCGTAGGAATAAGTTAAAATAAGTTTTTCCCAATGTTGACATCGCATATCATCGCATATTTTTCTTACCCTTCCCATAACCAATTGTATTGCAGAGAGAACTTTTCAAAAATGGCAATAGTTTAAAATGATCTCCGTTCTTCAATGTTAAATGATCGTTTAAATCCTCTTAGTTTAATGACAATTAAAATAACACTGTTAAAAAATATAAATTTTCAAGATGTCTTAATTGATTTCGCAAATGTAAAAGCAAGAAAAGTTTCTCTGTAAACAAAAAAGTAATATTTTTTGCATTCATTTTTAAATACATTTCTATAGGAATGGGGCCCCAAATAATTTTTGGCTCTCGGCCCCCAAAACCCTTAATTCGGTGTAGTATGAGATTTTTACTCCGCGTTTTTTTTTACTCCCCAGTAAAAATTTCGCACTAAATTTTTACTTTCATTATGAGATTTTTACTCCCATAAAATATTTTGCAGCAAAATGTGTTTTACAACTTTGTTTCATTTTGACAATATTTTTTAACGTTTTAAAGGTTTCGGCTTTTGAAAAGCAGTAAAGAAGTGATTTTGTTTAATATGAACATTGTTTTAAAAATTTTAACCAAATCAATTGACAAAATGTTAGGCATTACAAATAAACAAAATGTCGGTGTTGGACGATTTAATCTAACTATTTGTTTGAAAAACAGAGGCGTCCCGAGGGGGTGTCTAATCTTCTACTAAATTTACTTGTCGGCATATTGGACACTGGAGTCGGCATAATTGAATTTATAGTTGGCAGTCCTCAAATGTCAGCTAACGAGGGCCATTTATTTTTTAAGATCTTAGTCATCAAAAGAGTTTTTCTTGGCATTAGTTGGATACGCTTCCCCTTCTTCCGCCCATTGAATCTCTTCGGGATGGCCCTGGGTGCGACATAGGGAACTCATGAGAATATAACAAGGTGTGCTTCATTTATGTGGGGTAGATATTCAAATATATAGAGACTAAATATGGAGCAAAAAAATATATACAATAATTGAAATTAAACAACAATATTGTTGTTTAATTTGTTGAATTTTAAATATTGCAATATTTAAAATTCATGAAATAAATACATAAGTAAATGCACTAGATTTTCAACTGTTAATCACAGCATAAAAGTGGATTCCAGTTGAGTTGTCTAGAATTGTAGAATAACCAACTTATTAAGCCGTAAACTGCATGGGTAGGTCATCCATTTTGTTTTCACTCCATATTTGCTGTATACTTAGATACCTACCTCCATATATGAAGCACATCCAATTATCTCAAAAATTTTAGAATATGCGTTCGAATTGGCATACTCAAATAACCAGTTATTTTATCCTGTATTTTGTTACACATATGGTTAACAACTTTGTTTTTTATTGGCTTATGTTCATCTTTATTTCAAGTTATGATAAAAGAAATTGCTCTAAAAAAGCAGTTTCCATATGGTTTAATTCTATGGATTCCCTTGGACAACGAGTTAGGTTGATGTTTCCTACAGCAATATTGTGTTTCCTAACAATTCCAAACTTTTCTGCAATTTATTTTCTCATATAAAAAGTTGCACATTTTGCTAATCTTTCATTTGAAACACTTACACTGCTTTCATGTATTATCGTATGTGTTGCTTGATTCGAGTATTATCGTACGTATTGCTTGATTTGACGTCTTTGTTAATTGGTCCAGTTTTGACATTATCATCATTTGATAATTTAAAAAATAATAATAGATTTACATAGATAATAGGTTACAAAGGTTTTAATATACTTTTTTAAATACTCGCTTCTTTATTGCTTTTCAAGAAACTGAAGTTATTAAAACGTTTAAAAGTATTCACAAAATACAACGTGGTTTGGCAGCAAAAATACATTTTCCCGCAATATGTTATTGGCGATAAGGTTTAATAAACGGTTTATTAAACCTCCTTGGTTTTGGAGTAAAAATCTCATAATGGAGTAATGGAGCATTGGAGTAAAAATCTCATAAAGTTTAAAATAAGATTTTTACGGGCTTGCTGGATGGTAAAATGTTCTGTTAAATGTAGTTTTCTGTAACATGTAATGTTCAGTCCCTATGAAAAAAGAGGTAGCGATTGGACTTACTGTTTTCTTAAACGATGCTAAAATGTTTAAAAAGCGTTCATAGTCACCCTTGTTTGTTTTGTTTTTTCTTTTTGTAAACTTAATTATATATATATATATATATATATATATATATATATATATATATATATATATATATATATATATATATATATATATATATATATATATATATATATATATATATATATATATATATATATATATATATATATATATATATATATATATATATATATATATATCCCCTTCATATGCGTACACAATTCATTTTGTTCATTTTTCTTATAAAACTTAAGTCAAACAATAATTGAAACACGATAAAGTAATTAAATAAAACTTAAGCCAAACAAAAATTGAAACAAAATGTGTACATTTGTGAAACATGATGCGTACATTTGCCACAAAGTAGTGCCTCTACATTTAATTAGGGTTTGCCGTTGGGCTTTTATTTTTCTTCATTTTTTTCTTCTTTTTCTGAAAATATTGTATGCTATAAAGATTGAAAAAGCTAGTAACAATTTGTTATCTATATATGCTATAGTAGATAATCAAAATTCATGTTATATTTTGGAAATGTATGCATGTATAAACATCATTATAATCAACATGATCATCATAATCATCATTACCATCATAATCATCGTGACTTTATCATCATCATCATCATCATCATCATCATCATCATCATCATCATCATTAGTCTTTAGCCTTCCTCTTTTATGCTGTTTCTCTAATATAAACAACCAAGAGCATTTTCTTTTCTTAACTAAAGCTCACTAATACAATATATAAGGCACTCTCTTAAAGTTTTCTTACTTCTACCACTACCATTTTCTCCTAAGACTGCTACCTCTACGTACTGATACCTAAATCAATTACCTAAATTAAATTAAATCTTTTCTAGCAAACGTTGTTAGATAAAACATTTTTTAAAAATCTATCTAAGATTATGTCTCCTTTTCTTGTTTTGTTAGAGTCACAACACACATGCATCAGATCATCTTCTATTTCAACAAATACTACATCATATAAATACTAAATTTTTTATAAATATAAAAGGCTATTGTATGCCAGCATCTGTTTATATCCATTTTATGTATGCATAAATGCATTTCTGGAATAAAATCTTGGAAGCTTTTATTCCCTCTCTTCAATTTTCAAGTCAAGTTTCATTCTACTCCACATTTTTCACCATCTTGAGCAGTTGCTTTATTAAACTGTAATCATTTTTTTCCTTTTTTTTATACACGAGCATCTCTTTTAAGAGCAAATGTTCTTTTATTGCAAGAAGCCAATATAAAAAGGTCCTGTCAAATGTTAAGCTCTGTTCACTAAATCTTGTATTTTATTTCAGATGCCTAACATCTAGAGACTTTTAGAAAGTCTTCAACAGTGTCACTAACTAAAGTCTAACATTTAGTCTCTTATTCATGGGTCTGATCTTTTTACTCCTCCCTAGAATAGGGTAGAGTTATTTGCAAAAAACATTTCCTCTAACTTGAATATTGAATCTAGAGGCCATATTCTTCATACCAGTTAAACAGATTAACCCATTGTTAAACATCTAAATCCAATTTAAAGTTAAAACAAGATTTCCATCATAGTCTTGAAAAAATGTTCTCTACGACTCTCTTCAATTTTTGCTAAACTAATAAAATATGCTATATAAATGGTTCCGATTTTTTAAAGCTCTTTTAAAAAAAATTTGACTTCTAAACTATCCTTTGATTAGTCTTTAACTCTATGATTTATTTCTTTATATAAAGTTTTTGAGATTATAAAGTCATTTCTTTCTAACTGCAGTATTAAAGTTATTCTTGAAGGCCTACACTCCTTCACTCTTCTTCATTTTGAGTAACTTTAAGGGTACCACAAAGTTTTATCTTTGTTTCTATATTGTTTCTTATTTACATCTAAAGTGGCTCTATTTGCTGACACCGGGTTAACAAAAAGTCTCATTTTTAGCTGGGGCTAGGGCTCTGATCACTTACTATATAAATATATAAATATATATATATATATATATATATATATATATATATTCATATATATATATATATATATATATATATATATATATATATATATATATATATATATATATATATATATATATATATATATATATACATTATTAATATGTACATGGCCACAAATTAATATGGCATACATTGCCTTCATAATAGTGGAAGCTGATGATATGAAGACAGTTATTGCTGGCAATTTTAACTGCTATAATTGGTCAAGTATTTTTTAATCTTGCTTTAGAAAATAAACTGATTAAACCTGGTATCAATTGCGTTAATAATGACTGTACATATAAAATGGAATTATCCACATAAAAATCTGATACTACTGTGAGTTGCATTGACATATCTACTACAATAAAAACTGATGACCTTTTATGAAATCTTTTATGTATAGTGGGAGTAGACTGCAGCTTCCCATTAGTTTGTTTTTAAATTTCTGCAATAAAAACGATTATTTGCAGTTTATGTTTTGTGTGGTCACGGTCATTCCACTAGTAAAATCAAAAATTTTGAATAATTAGTCAGCTAATTACTGGCTATTGTTTTAGAAATAAATAGATAATGAATTACCCATAAATCTTGTTTGTTTGCTTGCATTTTAGTATAGTCATCAACAAATGTCAGTTAAATGGCAGGAAATGAAGTCAGGTAGTTTTGGAGTTAGAAATGGTGTTCATTAAGGTAGTATATTGTCGCCACTTCTATTTAATTTTTACATGCACAGTTTGAATTATGTGTAACAGGCTGTTAAATTGCTTTTGTTGAATCTTTTAAGTATCTTGGTCATATAGCTCTTATTTATGCTCTACAGAGTAAAGGTTATATTGTATAAATCATATTGCATTTATTTATATGGTGCTTCTTTGTGGGATAGTTAATAGGATAAAGCAATGCCATACCTTCAGTATTGCTACAACAAATGTGTTAGTATGTTTTTTAGTTTAGACAAGTATGATAATATCTCTCATGTTTTTATATCTTTTAAAATGTAGAAATATAAATATAAATGAATATATAAATAAAAATGAATTTCTTAAATTTTATATACAAAAAAAAAAAAACAATTTTTAACTAAAAATTAAAAAGGTCGTTTTTTATGACAATTGGTTAGCAATATTTTTTTTTTTTTTAAGTTTCAGTAGAAAAGATTATGAATTTTAAAATCACTGAATTTTGAAATGACTTTTCAATTACTTTCAAATCAAAGTTATTTAAATTAGTTATTAATGTTAATATTTAAATTAGTAAAGTTATTTAAATTATTAAAAACACTTATCTAATTTTTACCAATCCTTTTATTAACTCGTTGTCTCTGTTTGCCTGTGAATATCAAATCTGGCAATCAATTTTTGAGTTCACTTCCTGATGATTTCTTCAAATTTTGTCTACATACTCTTGCTTGATGACAATACAATATTCAATAATTAGTTTTGGAATAAGTCAATTAACTTAGTTAATTTTAATTAAGTTTATTTTTTTTTATGGAAAAAAGAATAATAGATTTAAAAATAAGTATGTTTATTGTTTTCCTACTTATATGTGCATTTAGCTTATTTGGATAAGGTGTTGACATTGTAAACGTTGACATCAAATGTCTGTGGTTCGAGACCCGCCACTTCCTACATTTTTTTTGTTTTTTTACACACACTGAATGTTAATAAAATTTGTGATATAAAAGCATTGAGTTTTAAAAATTCTTTTTTAAATTTACTTTTTTTCTTCAACAAATGATTTCTCCATCAGTAGGTTCATCAGGAAGGTTCTTCCTAATGAACCTACTGATGGAAAAACAAGTTGTTGAAGAAAAAAAATAGATTACTGTTTTTACTAGATTATTATTTTTACTAATTTTTTATAATAGTGTTTTTACTAATTTATTATTATATGTATTTTTTTTTTAGTGTTTTATTAATAGAATTATTATGAATTCAAGTCGTTGGAAGGAAAAGTCTGAAGTTAAAATCTTATATCAAAATGAATCCATTTATTTCCATTGTGTATCCATTTTTCATTACATATTTATGATATTCAGTTTCATGTTATTTGGGTTTATATGTTTTGATGACGACGATGAATTTTTAAAAGGAATTGGTGGTCCAGGTGTAAGGTTGCTATATTTACGCAAAAATTACTTAGTTCAACTTCAAGTTGGTTTTTTTTTTGCTGTAATGATGCATATAGTTGAAGCCTTATATGCATTTAAGATTTGCAAAGAATTAAATATACGTTCAGACATGGCTCTAAAATGGTTTCTGCAAACTTTCATCTGTGGATATATATCGCTGCGTCATTTGTTAGAATTCAAAGATCAACAGAAATCCAAACAAAAATAAAATTCTTCAATCAAAACAAGAATAAAAATTTTTAACATTTTTTATTTTTTAAATTTGAATAGCAATTAAAAGATTGAAATTATTGTTTGCATTTAAAATTTTTGAACCTTGTTTTTTTTTTTTATAAGTTTTACAATTTCTAACATCAACATACTATAGTATTCAAACATCATTTGTATTTTTCTTTTTCGTTTTACATCTTTTGTACTAAAATTAAAATTGTAAATCAGATATTTATTTTACCTTTTTATTTAAACAAATGTGTTTTTTCTGTTGTTTTTTTATGCTTATTTTTTTTTGAAAAGTATTATATAATTTCAACTATGTTTTTAACGTGTGTTCATTTGATATATATATATATATATATATATATATATATATATATATATATATATATATATATATATATATATGTATATATATATATATATATATATATATATATATATATATATATATATATATATATATATATATATATATATATATGTATATATATGTATATATATATATATATATATATATATATATGTATATATATGTATATATATATATATGAAATACAAAAATATATATATATACAGGGCCTGCGCGAGTAGGTGTCACGTGGGAGGAGGGGGTGCCATTACAACTATTGCCGTCTGAAAAAAAAAGTCCTCGTTTTTTAAAATTTACCGACTGTCATAACGACATTTGGCGACTGACTTTACCGACTGACCTATCGATAGTGTCTACATTTGCCGACTAACTAGTCAAAAAGGGTCACATTTGCCGACTAAGGGTCAAATTTGCTGACTAAAAATCATTGATGAAGGGGGGGGTGTAACACCCCCTACACCCCCCTATCGCGCAGGTCTTGTATATATATATATATATATATATATATATATATATATATATATATATATATATATATATAATATCTATATCTATTTAATATATATATATATATATATATATATATATATATATATATATATATATATATATATATATATATATATATATATGTATATGTATATGTATATATATATATATATATATATATATATATATATATATATATATATATATATATATATATATATATATATATATATATATATATATATATATATATATATATGTATATATATATATATATATATATATATATATATATATATATATATATATATATATATATATATATATATATATATATGAAATACAAAAAAAAATACTAATACAAAAGATACAAAGATACATAAAAACGAGGCGACGATTTTTTACCGACCTCGTTTCTATGTTTTAAGGTCTATATATATATATATATATATATATATATATATATATATATATGAAATACAAAAAAAAATACTAATACAAAAGATACAAAGATACATAAAAACGAGGCGACGATTTTTTACCGACCTCGTTTCTATGTTTTAAGGTCAAAAAATATATATTTTCACTTATGTTATTTTCTTATATAGAATCAAATCAAGATTTTATTGATTCAGAAAAGGCGCTGTATAAGGCTTTGGTCAATTTAAAAAAACAATACTATATCCTCCTTAAAAGCTGTTCAAAATTTTCTACTTTCCATCTATCTTTATAAACTAATTCTTTAATTACATATACAGTAAAATAAAATGTAAATAAAAATATAATAATTTTTTTCTGGCCAATAATAGGCTATAGCTTATTATAGGCCAGAAAAAAGGTTATATTTTGTGCTAATATACAAATGTGCTTTAGCATATCTGCCGGCACATCTGCAACATCTGCCGGCTAATTATATAAATTTTGGCGGCAAACTTGAGCAGATCAAAAATAGTATTGTATTAATGTAAACAAAACCTAATTAGTTAACAAATGTTGAACTATTTTTTAATTACGTAGATTTAAATTTGTCCTTGTTTGTGTATTGTTTACTGACAGAAAAGCTACAGGTTAGTATTATTGATGATATTTTTTAGTTATAAATTATATACTGTTTATGTTTGTTGTATTATATATTTTGTTGGTTGTACATCGAAATTTTTTCATCGAAACAAAGTATCAGTGGTTCAAACCTTATCGCTGGGCAAGTTTCGGAACATCGGTGAAGAAAAAGACGTGGTAAATGCTCTTCTGCTGTGCTTTGTGATTAGACTATAAGAGCTTCTTGGAGCACCTAAAACAAAAAAAGAAGAACAACAGTTTAAATGAGTTTTTATTTGAAGACGCATAGAATTTTCATTTGATTGCGAATGTGATCCTTTAATACCAGACGATTCTAAGATCAAATGTGATTGTCTCATACCAGACGACCAAACAGAACATACTAATTCGCTACATCATCACACATCTGTAGGCATCAACAATCTCTAATACCAATAAATCAAATATTTGTTTTTTGTTAGATATGATCTAAACGCAGAGTCTCGAGCATTAGTTGTTTCTCCCCCTGCCCCCTGAGCATTTATACTCTGTTCTTCTACTTCACAAAAGTCTGACCGCTCATTTTATATTTCTAATGTTTTTTTTTTTTTTTAATATTGTTTCGCATAAACAATTATAAATATATTCTTTGTAGCTGGTGAGCTCTACCTTTTCCAACATACACCACAATGGCAAAACGAAGATTACGATGTGGTTACGGCGCTCAATAATATAATGACTGCGCTGACAACCTTGCACACGTTCATTCGTAAGCTCCTCAATGCACGTTAGATTAGCGCTTGCTGATTATGAGCTCGATTTAAAATCTCACTTCTTAGCACATCATTCCACACCAGTACGGGGTCGTAGCTCTTTTGGCTAAAAGTGATGGTTTGTGGCCTACGGTGACTAAATTAGTCACCGTAGGCCCACATTAAATGTGTGCAATTGATCAATTGAAGTCAATTCTGTTGGTCTTACGTTTGGCTTTGATTTGTTAGCCCATAAGCGTAAAAAGTAAGTGTGTTTAGCTTTCTATTCACCATATTTGAAAATGGACGAAAACATATCGAGACCATACTAGACGACCGAACGGGACATACTAATGCACTATACCATCACACCTGTAGATATCAATCGTCTCTAACATGAGTAAATTAAATATTTGTTTTATTTTTACTCATTAGTTAATTATGATAAGTTTTAGCCAAAAGACAATGACGTAAGATACTGTCTTTACAATTCCAGCAGTAGAAAAAAGCAACAGCCACAGAAATGAATGAAATCTTGCAAAAAATATATTGTTTGTTGTTACTTTGTTTTCCAGAAGTTCAATTTACATAGCCTTGCGTATTCAAATTTATTCATGGCTTACAAATTTGTGTTGTCATTATCCTCATCACAAAATGCTTGTGAACGGTCATTTTCGAAATTGAAATAAATTTTGAACAGAATAAGAAATTTGTTGAGACAGTCAAATCATTCACTTTGGTGTCTTGTAAAAAGTACCTTCTTCTAAGACTTAATAGCAATGCAATCATTGGTGTTTTGGCATCAACTAGTCAAACGATAAAAAAGTTGCTTTACAAGTCAATAGTGAATAGCGGTTGTCTACTATTTCCAACTTACAGCACTCCTTTTCCACATACGTAGAGTTTATAAGAGATTTTTTTTCTTAAAAGAGGTTTTTTTCTTCTAAATGCATATCATTGATAGCTCAGTGGTTTATTGCGCTGTTATTAGTGTCGTATTGGGGGTCTAAGACCTCCTCTTAGCGTAATAAACTTTGAAGTTTTTTCAACCTTGCTTATATATTTACAGCAAAAAAAAAAAAAAAAATAGCAAAAAAGATTTCTAATTGTTAAAATAAAATTTTAAAGTTTTTTCATTTAATAGATATATTGTACACGATTGTTCCATATACTGCCGGCAAACTCAACATATGCTAAAGACGTTTACACTTACAGACGTTGGCAAATAACACCACACAAAAGAAAATCTTAGACCATTAAAAACTATAGACGCGGCCTTAGCTATCAAACGCTTTAGCCAAAAAACATTTTACGCAATGATGTCACTTTTTTGCAATAAAAAAAACTTTTTAACGTCGAGCTACTTTTGCATTTATCTTACATTTTTTGATTATTTTTGATTACGGTGCATGCAATTGTACAAAAAGATATAAAACTGGTACAGTTACATTTCATGGATAAGAGTTTGTATTTATTACAATAGTAATGAATAAATATTTTAAAGAGAATAACATAGTAGTTATTATAATTAGAACATATCCGATAAAAATATATTTTTAATAAAAGGAATTTTTCTAAAAAAATTCAAACTAAATCTTTTTTCTAGTTTTTTTACCACAAAGTAACGTCAAAAATTTTTTTGGTTTTAACTATGGAAGTAAACCTTACTCATCTGTAAACCTTAGCTTATAGTTGATGTTGCCATCTATGTTATATTGTAAGCCATAATGTCAGCCACCATAAAAACATATTTTCTATTAGTAATAAATCCAAATACCTTTAAGTAAAAAAAATCCAATGACTTAAAGAAAAATGTATGTAAATATTTGGTAAAATAATACCTTGGGGTCCCCTTTAATTTTTCCAGGTCTTATTGATTTATAAAATTTGATTGAGTCAAATGATTTGAAAAATGAATTAGTAAGGTAAGAAATATCATAGGGTTCTGGTTTTTTCGGAACACTTCTACAAATTCCGTAGTACTTTACAGGTATTTTAGTTTTTTCTCTATACATGCATGCATTGAGTTGACCTCCATTTGGGTATGCCCAACCTCTAAATACTTCTGCTCAATGTTTATTTATTTTGAAATAGCTATATTCATCAAAACATTCGACAATATTGAATTTCTATTTTGGCCTGCAACCATTACTATATAAAATCAATTTGCCTGTTGAGTCTGGGAAGAAAATTATGGTTAATGAATTTTCCCATTATGCTTTCATATTCTTTTGCAATTAGTCCACCCTCAATTTTATTCCACAAGTAACAGTATCCGGATTTTATTGTAAGATCAAATAAACAAAAGTTATGAACACATAGCTTCGTTTTATAATACAGAGAAGAAACATGTTAAACTATAAAAACAAATTCTTGTTCTTTGTCTTTCTATTTTTCAATTTATATTAATAAATATTGGTCTAAACTTAGCCAGTAAAATTAAACACACTCATTCACATTTCTTGAACTATCTATTGAAGTCTGATAAAAGCTTAGCATTTAAAAAGCTCACTTGTAAAGAACTTGATGACTAAATAAAAAAACTAAATATAAATAGAGCAACATGCTATGATTCTATTTCAG